AGGAAGGAAGGAAGGAAGGAAGGAAGGAAGGAAGGAAGGAAGGAAGGAAGATATAGTTATAGTATTTTATCTTGCATTTTTAATTCCTTTAAGAAAAAGTTAAAGTTGTGAGTGACTTGTAAGCATTTAACAACCAGGACATTTCACATAAAAACCCAGCTTCCCACATCTGTCTTGGGAAGTAAGGCACCATGGCTACTTTTGAGTGGCAAGAGTGGAACAGGCTGGGTCCCTCAGAGTCCCTTCTAGTTTGGTTCCCACATAGACACTGCTTCTAGGTCCCTACAGGGAGCCCCAATCCTAGGAAAGTGGGACAGTACAAGAGGAGAAGGTTCACTGGAGATGGGGAAATGACCAAAGTTACTAAATGTCATTTTATTGTCATTCTTTGCCAGGCATCCAGAGTTTGAACATAATCCTGCATCCACACGAAAACCCAAACCACTGGTACATTCAGGGAGATCCAGCCTTCAAGACTGCCAAAGCCTAGCTGGATCCTGCAGACATATGGCTCCCTGACAGTACACCATTGGGCAGAACTTGAGGAGAAGGGCCCATTTCCATTGAACTGTCATTTTCAGAAATGTTTTTTTCTGAGAACAGCCAATCCTAGACAGGGTCCCCAACTGCCTCACACTCACCTGAGCAGCTCTATCAGCCGTTCCTCAAGGTATTTCTTGGTTCTATTCAGGTCGTCTAGGTCTGCAAGCAATTTCTGGTCATTCCTTTCCCTGTTTGTTACCTCCTGGCAGAGTTTGTTGTAATATTCTTGGATTTTTGATGTGGCTTTTTCAAGTTCCTTCTGAGTTCTGGGAGAGGAGAAATAATTTTTCTTGGTTAGCTCTGATATTCAGCTTCCTGGAATCTCTGGGCTCTCCTGGCCTTCAATAAGAGGTTCTGCTGTCCTGTCGGCCTTTCCCTCTCATGGTGAGGCATGACCTACCTGCTCACTGGTTATGCATTATGTTACAATCTGAGACTCTCCCTACCTCCCCCTCAAACATGAAGGGGTATTCTGAGATGGCAGAGACATTCCAGGATGCTAACATATTTAGTGAGTGAGACATGACACTCCTGTAGGGATTTCTGGACAAGAGTTGAGGTTGGCAGGCGCCAGATGGGAAAAGGCTTATGGGGTGGTAATGGAGGATGAGCAGGGGTGAAGAGTCAGGACATAAAGGAGAGGTGTGGTCTCTCAAAGGTGGTTATAAAGAAGGACCTTGCTCTCAGGTGTCTTTAGGACTCTGCCTTGAGGAGGGTGCTGGGCCTTTAGTAGGTCTTCTACCCGATTAGTCCTCCAATCCCCTGAAATTCTGTCTTGGGCCGTGGGATCTTAGCATACGGCAGAGGGGGCTGGTGGAGCTGTCTGTCTGTCCAACCCCATGCATTCCACATGTAGTTTAACTATCCCCTTATGTGGCAATTTCTAAGGATGTTAAAAAAAAAACCCAAGACCCAGTAAGGTATTTGTAAGAACTCCATTAAATAGAGGTTCTATGAAAAGTCTACATTGTTTATATACTTTCCAGTCAAGTCTAATACATAGCTATCAGGGGTTATTTATTATTCAATGTCCACAAAATGATTTTAGGGTATATAACACAAAACATCAAGGGAGGTCTAATCCTAGGCAGATGAACTGTGCAATTCTGAGCAGCTAAAACAAATCTTCTACATAACCATTTTTACAGCATTTTGTTTTGTTTCTTGAAATAGGGTCTCATTACGTAGCTCTGGCTGGCTTGGAACTTGCTATGTAGACTAGGCTGGCCTCAAACTCAAAGAAATCCACCTGCTTTTTGCTCCCCCGAATGCTGGGATTAAAAGCATTTACCACAGTAGAGCTGACCCTGTTGACAGGCCTGCAGGTAATCCTAACCCGAACCCTAACCCTTCCCCCTTCCTACCCTGTGAAAGTGCATGGGAGATCTGGGACCACCCCTCCTCTGCCATATGGTGGAGTGAGTAAGTGAGAGAATCCTCCCCTCTCCCCTCGACACCTGTGGTGTGTGGGAGAGCTGGCCCTGGGGTCCTGAGAATGGGAGACTCGGCACTGTACCTCACCATACACTACTGGTGGAGCTGACTCTATTGGAGTGGGGTGAGGTGAGGGGGTGTGGCACAGGTGAGTTGGCCTGGAGGGCATGAAAGCAGGAGAGCTGACACTTCCATCAGCCATGTGGAGGCATGGATGAGGGAAAGATATCCCTCATCACCCCTTGCCACCTAGCCTAGGGGCATGAGAGCCAGAGAGCTGGTCCTGCCCCTCATTGGCTGCAGCACATAAGGGAGCAGGCCCTACAACTCACCTGGGGAGCACACTAGAGCTGACCCTGGTGGGGGTCCGGGTGAGCCAGTTCTGTGGATGTGAGAGCAGGACAGCTGCACCTGCCCCTCTCTCATATGCCATGTGGTAATGTGGATGCGGGGAACAGTGCCAACTGCAGCAGGCAAGAGAGCTGGGCAAGAGAACGGAGGAGCTGGTCCCATCTCTCACCAACTGCAGCAATTGGGACATATAATTGGCCTAGGCAAAACAGTAGAGTTGGCCCTGGTGATGTGAGTGTGGGTGAGCAAGGCATGAGAGCAGGAGAACTGGCCCTGTTGCCTGATGCTTTGGGTGAACTAGCCGGGGCAGTACTGGAGCTGCCCTGGTGGTGATAATGAGAGAAACCTAGTGGGCTGACCAACCCAGTTATTATGCAGGCCCAGAAACAGGGCTATGAAGTAGCCCACCCCAACATCTACCTCATCTATGAACTGCTGGAAGGGCTGGATCTGCAGATCCAAAGCTATAGGATCCTCATGACACAAGACAACAACAGGATATTCAGGAGGAGTCCCAGTGAAGGCCCAGTATCTATAGAGTAGTAGAAGCCAGAGGTCTTGAATCAGACCAATGATCCACTGCAAACACTCACATGTAAAGATGTATGAACTAATGGGTATACTGTGTGACTCACTGGGCCACACTATAGCTTCCACACCAAAATTTTTTCTTTTCCTTCTTCTTCTTTTTTGTTTTGAGGCTATACTTTTACTTTTTTGGTGCACCCGCGTGGGGCGGGGGATGGGGGTGGGTGGGTAAGTGGGAAGAGTCACCAAGAGTCACAAGGGCAGAAAATGGAGTTGAGGGGATGGGGAGATGAGTGAGATTGGATGCATGATGTAAAATCCACAAAGAATCAATAAAGTTTTAAAAAAATATGCCAGCGTACCTAGCTTTCATTCTTACAGCATTTAAAAATAGCAGTTCAAATGTGTCCTCTGTTTAAATCACATGAACAAGACCTGGCTAGGAGCTGTCACTGGGCTTCTTCACTGAATCCAGACCTAAGCAGGAAGGCAGGCAGCAGGAGAAAAGGCATGCGTACAGGCTCAGGACAATCTGATAAATTTACTTTTGCTGGTGGCACCCAAGGGATCCTCTTCCTGATCAACTGTTCTTAGCAGGTCCTAGCTATACCATCTTGGCCCCATCTCCAGAAGCAGGCTCAGGTTTACAACTCCACATGGCCTCAAGCTGAAAGTGATAAACTAACTGAGAAGAAACTAAACCCTCTCACAGGACTGTTGGGAAGACTAAATAGGTAATTATAGGTTAAACATCCCTAATTTGAAAATCTGAAATCCAAACTGCTCTGAAATATGAAAACAATGCCCTTCTGCTCCCAAGCCTTTCAGCTAAAGATGCTCAGCCTGCACAAGCAGCATTTAGAACAAGCCACACTGCAAGCAGGACTCAATGCTGGTTGTTATTCCCATTATTGTCATGCTCTAACTGTGCTTGCTTTCAGTTTTTTGGAAACATGCAGTTAGTGTGTACCTTGCTGGAGGTAAAAAGCTGCAGCAGATAAAAGGCACGTTGCCTCCTGTGAACTATGGCAGGAAGATAGCTGACTTTTCTGTGGCAAGCTTCTGGCCCCTGTGCTTTCCACTGGCACGACTTTTGCACGATTTCCCCATCTAGTACAAGTGGCTGACTTTCTAAAATGAGTGCATCTACCTACTCCCTGAAGATCACCAGTGGCTGTGTGGGTGACCCAGTGACTGACCTTTCTAGGCTTATTTGAAGAGTAGTGCTTTCTTCGTCTTTGTGCTGCAAAGTGGCCTGGCACTCTGCAAGGTGGCTGCTGGTACAGTTCAGCTTCTCCTCCATGGCTGCCTTGGTGACCTGGTGTAAGATATGCAGGAGAAGACACAAACTTACAAAGTTTACCCTCCATGGAAGAAGAGACTGGTATGCTACTCACACTTCCTGACAGGGCCACTTGTAAGGGGAAGGTTTTGTGCTCATGAGGTCAGAAACCTATTTGTGGGGCATGATCTGATCTTCAGTGGGGTGCTAGGGTGCAATGGCATGAAGTGAGGTTACCAGTGGGACCAGTGTCACTTCACTGGTACTAGAGAATGTCAACAGAGGTGACTAAGAACAATTTCCTTTTAGCCCAAAGTCTAGGGAGGGAAAAGAGTCATGACATAGACTTGGGACATTGTTCTAACCAATGACAGTCTCAGTTTGAGAACTGGCAGCATTTTGAGGAGCATCTGACAACAATGTAGTAAAAGCACACCAGATCCCCTTGATAGCAACCCTGCCAGACCTACCCTCAGCTCCTGCATAGCCTCCTGAGTCATTTGTAGCTGCTGGCTTTGCTCTTCTAGCTGGGCCCTGAGGCGCCCACACTCTTCATTGGCTGTCTGGAAAGAATGAGAAAGACATCATGCTGTGGGATAATACTCTTGTACACTATAAAGATTTGTCACTTGAATTAGTTTAATAAAATGCTGACTGGCCAGTAGCCAGGCAGGAAGGATAGGCAGGGTGACCAGACTACGGGAATTCTGGGAAGAGGAAGGGTGGAGTCAGGAGTCACCAGCCAGACATAGAGGAAGCAAGGTGAGAATGTCACACTGAGAAAAGGTACCAAGCCACATGGCTAAACAAAGATAAGAATTATGGGTCAAGTAGAAGAGCTAGTTAGTAATAAGCCTGAGCTACAGGCTGTGCATTTATAAGTAACAATAAGCCTCAGAGTCAATTAATTAAGAAGCAGCTGCCAGGTATTTGGGAACAGGCAGGTGAGAGAGAAACTTCTGCCTACATATGGCTGGCAAGAATTTCCACATAAAACCTGAGAAAGCTTAAAAAAGGATTCTAAGCACACAAAAACCAGAGTCAAACTCAGCTTCTTGGTAACCACTTTTTCTCTGGTGGGTTCTGTTTGATGGTGGCAAGCAGAGGCATGGCTCCTTTAAGAGATGGCTTCCTGACTCAGTGTTAGCGGCAAAAACTGCACAGCTCTTTTAGAGGCCCTGCTGCCAAACACTTATATGGTGTTTATGAGCAGCTGGCGTCTGCAACTCAGTGGTGGTGATGTGGACCTAAAACCTCCCCAGAGTTGGGGGCAATACACGTGTGTGGCTCCTGCCAGTACCTCTGCCATGAAGCTAGACTCTCAGGAAGCCAAGGGATGGGGTAGAACCAGCCACTTTAGTCCTAGTCACGCCTGCTTAGCAGATTAAATGCTCATGTGATCAGAAAAAGACAGAGATATGCAGTAAGGACAGAATAAGACAAAACAAAAAACAAAAACAACAACAACAAAAAAACCTCTAAACAGTTCACAGTTTAAAATATACATAAGCTTAGGAGAGAAAAGAGAAGGTATAGACAGTCATAAAAAAGAAATATATAGTTTTAAAATAATAAAGTCTTTAAAAAGGAAGTAAAATAATATTTTAAAAAGGCCACATAAAGATGGAAGATACACAGAGAGTCTGGATACTGTATGTTATTGTGTTGTCTTTGAATTGTTTGACTGCTGTATGAGCAACAGCTGATAAGAGACATTTGATTATAAATGTTGCTGGATTAATCCAACCTATATATTTTGAAAATGTCTTGACTTCAAAATAAGTCAAGAGATATGTTACTTTGGGGAAGAGGTTATGCTTTTATTTCCACAGGAAATGAGACGCTGTGGATTCATTCTGTGTTTTAAAAAAAATCAGATTTGGTTAAGGAAGACTCCCTGAAAAAATCTCCAATGGGAACAGATAGCCCAGATGATCCAACCTTTTGGGGTGCCTCTGTTGCAGTTTCCTGAGTTCTGAATCCAGAAAGGCTTCAAGGTAGCTGGCTGAGATGATTCAGCCTCACAGACTACTCCAGCTAAGACTTAACCATTACCCTAAATTTTCTCAGTGTTCCCCAGGGATTACCACCCCCCCTCCCATCCCCCGCTGCCCAAGCAGCAGGAAATAGTCTAGAGAACTACACCGACATTCCCAAAAACAAATTATGAATGTTTGTCATCATTTAGGGGGGCTGGTTACAAGTAGTTATAGATAATGGTCAGGAAAAAAGCTAAACAAAGATTAGATTCAGGGATCTTGTTCTAGAAAGAAGAGACAGGATACAGAAATGATAGGATAAAAGGGTAGAACTTTAATCCAAAAAAAAAACCTATTAATCTTACATTATTTTACATTGGTATGGATTTTAGTTTATTGATATAAATTTAAAGTTAATTTTGTTATACTGTATGTATATTTCTGTTCTTGTTTAGGGTATTGTGTTTATGTAGCTCATTTAAAAATGTAATATATAATTAAGAAATACAGATTAATAGTCATCCATAATAGCAAAATTATAGTCATGTTAGGTATGTTTTCAAGTTCATATAGAGATATATTTCAGATAGATAGGCAATCTTCAAAAACTTCAAAGACCTATAGAATATGGCATTTAAAATGTTTTAAGAACTTAGACTTTTCTTGACAGTGAGACACATCTGTTCCAAGCAGCACTAATTACTTCAAAGAGGATGATGGGCATCAAAGAAACTCCATATGGACTTTGTTTTATTTATGTCAAAAGCTAGTCATGTAGGCAAAGAAAGTGCCCTTGCCTCAACTGCTGACAGTATGTTGTACAAATTGGACAAGCAGGGCACAAAAGAAAGTGACTGCAGAACTTTGCCAAGACAAGGTGGGGCAGGCCTTCAAAAATCCTGCTTCAAAGATAAGGCTGTCAGATATGCTAGGCCTGTAGGCTGAAGATGGATGCCCCAATATTACAGAGAAACTTTGGGTGACTGTCCAGGCAGATGTCCCTGTCACTAGGTAACATTACATCCTTCTGGGGTCTTTGATGGAGTTGAGGACTAAATAGTTATAACTATTGTTTTCCTTAGTCATGATAGAAAGTAAATTAGATACAAAACTTTAGGCTCACCAAGATAAGAAAGGTAATTGAAGTATTTTCTCAAATTTTGTCAAATGCAAATGGACTGGATATTGTTACTATAATTCTTACTTAATAACTGTTTTTGCTTTACTATATTAAGGTTAAAACTTTCCTTTTTAATTAGACAAAAAAGGGGAAATGCTGTGGGATAATGCTCTTATACACTGTAAAGATTTGTCACTCAAACTGCTTTAATAAAACATTGTTTGGCCATTAGCCAGGCAGGAAGTATAGGTGGGGTGACCAGACTAGGAGAATTCTGGGAGGAGGAAGGGCAGAGTCAGGAGTCACTAGCCAGACACAGAGGAAGCAAGATGAGAATGTCACACTGAGAAAAGGTACCAAGCCACGTGGCTACATATAGATAAGAATTAAGGGTTAATTTAAGAGTAAGAGATAGATAGTAATAAGCCTGAGCTACTGGCCCAGCATTTATGAATAATAATAAGCCTCAGAGTCAATTATTTAAGAAGCAGCTGCTGGGTATTTGGGAACAGGCAAGTGGGAGAGAGAAACTTCCACCTACAGCATCATAAGAGAGAGGTTCTTACTCTGAGACTCCTTCACCTTTATCAGCCAAATGGTTTCCAGAAACACAACTGCACTGTTTCCCAAAGTGGCTCTTCAACAAGCTTCTTCTCTACTGGTAACAAAATACTTTCAAGTTTACAAGGGAAAGAGTCTCACCTTGTTCCTCAAACAGAATTAATTTCTGCAAGAGAAAAAAGTAGCCCATGAGCCTCATGGGGCTTCATGGGGTGTGGAGGGCACTCTTAGGAAAGGGCAGGAAAGAGTGCAGAGTGGCCTGAGAGCACAGAGGCCTAGGTACAGGTCCACTAGGATACATACTGGAAATCAAAGTACTGTGGCTACTTGTCCATGTTCTTATCTACCATTCTTTAGCCCCTTTTCTTCATGCAGTATCAAAGATTCATGGTCTATTGGGTCTCAGATTTGTCTGCTTTAAGAGCCTTGTTTTTCTAAACTGAACCAGTTCCATATACCCAGTCAGCCATCAGAATAGGATCCACAGAAGCTGATTATTTAGCAAGGACTAGAGTCAGGACTCAAGATGTCATAGACTGGTGACCTTATGAAGGATGGGCTCCAAAATATAAGGCAGGGCTAGAGGCTGGAACTTATGTGTGGAAGGGCCTATACACAAACACACAAAAGAGGGAGCAGCAGAAGGGTGTATGCACTCTTTGAGCTGTTGCTGCCTGCTACCTTGTAGAGATATGGAAATGGGCTATTAGATCTGCTGAGAATTCAAACAAAGTCACAAAACTGAATTTGTGTACATCTGTTCTGTCAATGTTGGCTACAAATTATAAAAAAGTTCTGTGTGGTTCAACATCTGCCATGGCCAAAGTGGAGGCTCCTAAGTGGAGTTATTACTCTCCATTGCTCTGCCTGATGTGTTTCTGCAAAGAAATGTGAGCTACCAAAGTTGAATGGAACCAGGACATTCTCTGGTCTCCACCTTTTTCTTGCTGCAGGGCCATCTAATTGTGGAGCCACCAGGTATACCTTGAGAGATGGCTAAAGCTGGGCTTACCTTCAATCTGTTCTGGTGGTCCATAATCTCAGCACTTAACTGGAACTTGAGGGCATCTCGCTCCTGGTGTGCAGCTTCTTGGAGGCTCTGAGCCAGCTGCTCAGCCTGAGCCAGCTGTGCCTGTAGACCAGAGAATGAACTAGCTGCCTCCTCAGCTGCCTTAAGCTTTTCCTGCAAGCTCTCCTTTTCTTGCTTTAGTCCCATCACTTGAAGCTCCAAGCCCTTTTGTTCCCGGAGTGCTGCCTCTTTGGAGTCCCGGAGCTCCTGCGTCAAGCTGGCCAGGGCCCCCTCCATCCGATCCTTCTCGGCTGTCAGGGCACAGACCTGTATGCCAAGCTCAGCTGTGTCTGTGTTGGCTCGATGCAGCTGGTCCTGTAGCTCTGCATGCTCCAGGTGGGCTCCCTCAGAGCTGCACCTCACCCGTGACAGCTCTGCCTGCAGGGCTCGTAGCTCTTGCTCCTGCTTCTGGGCCTTGTAGATGCTCTCCTCCTGCAGTATCCCTTCTCGCTCTGAGCACTGCAGCAGTTCCTGAACATGGGCCCTGTTGAGGGCTTCATTCTGCTCTTTCAGTTGTTGCACCAGGGTCTTGTGCTCCCTCAGGACCGCCTCAGCCACACCCAGCTGGCTCTGTAACTTGTCTCGGTCACCTAAGGCCACTTGGAGCTTGGCTTGGAGGTCCACCACCTCATTCTGTAACCGCTGGGCCTCCCCCTGGTGAACTTCTAGCTGTGCTTGAGACAGGGCCAGTTGGGCTGTGTTGAGCTGTGGTAGGCTGAGTCCCTGGTGGCCTTTTTCTGCAGAGAGGGCCTCAATCAACTGAATCTGCTGCTGGCACTGGTTCTCAAGAGCCCTGAGCTCCTGGTCCTGGGCCTCTGTCCGAAGCCGGCACTGATCTGCCTCTTCTTGCAGCCGCCGGCACTCACCCTCCTTACTCTGCAGGGCAGCCTCCTTCTCTGCCACCTGGGCCTTCATAGTCTCCTTGGCTTTCCTCACAGCCAAGAGGCTTGCTTCCATTTGGTCTCCCAGGTGCCGGATGCTGGCCTGCTCAGCTTCCAGGGAGGCTAAGGAGCCCTGGATGGCTGTCTCTCGCTGCTGCAGTGCCTTGTAATCTGTTTGCAAGGCTTGAAGTTTTCCTTCTAGGAGCTGGTTGCGCACAGCCATGTTCTGCAGCTCCTTCTGTAGCTCCTGGTTGACCTTTTGCAATTCCTCCTGATCTCCCCCTGGCACTGTGGTATTGTTTAGCTGTTCTTCCTGGAGGTATTGCTGCCCCTCTTCTGGCATCTCCCCAGTCTGTGGTGGGACAGAGCTTAGGGAGGCCAGAGTCTCCCTATTCTTGTTGGCCCCATGCACCTCAGCTAGCTGCTCCAGTGTGCCCACTTTCTGGCTGAGACGGTCTCTGTCCTGCATAAGGTGCTTCTTCTGCTCCTCCAGGTCGCTCACAAGCTGACTCACCTGTGCTAACTGGGTCTCTAGAAGTTGCAGGTGCCATGTCAGAGACTTGGCCTCCTGTTCCAGCAGCTGCTTTTCTTCTCGATGCTGCTTTTCTTGCTGCCTGGCTTCTGCCAGCTCCTCCTCCACAGAGCTCAAGTGGCCCAGGGATTCCTGTAGTTGTCGCCGGAGCTGAGCTGACTCTTGCTTCTTCCCAGCTAGCTCTTCCTGAAGTGGGGCCACATCCTTCACTAAGTGCTCTAGGCCAGCCCGGGCCTCCTCCTTCAGCTGTAGTTCCTTGGCCAGCTGCTCTAGCTTGATATTCTGCTGCCTATTGAGTTCCTGGGCCTTGGTGTTTTCTCCTTCTAGGGCTTCAAGTTTTCCCTTCAGTTCCTGGAACTTTAGGGCCATGTCAGCAGGAACTGGCTCTTGAAGAAACTTTGTGTCCTGAGCTGGATTTGCTGCTTTCTCGGTCCTAGCTAGGCAATCTGAAAGGCTGGCTAGAAGCTGGTTATTCCTATCCAGAGAGTTTCTCACAGCCTCAAGTTCCTGTGCCATGGTCTCAAGCTGCAGGGCTAAGAGGCTGTTCTCTTTCTTATCTACATTCAGCTCCGAGGCCTGCAGACATTTCTGTAGCTTCTTCACTGTAGCCATGGTGACTTCCCCCTGCTTCCGGAGCTCTGCCACCAGGCCCAGGAGGCCAATGCTATCCTCCACTGTAGGGTACCCCTTCTCCTTTTCTACCTGAAGCTGCTCCCCTTGCCTGCTGATCATCACTCGAAGTGCTTGGTTCTCCCTGTCTAGCTGCTGTACATGGTCTTGTAGCTGTTTCTCCCGAACCTCCAACTGGTCCAGCTCCAGTCGCATCTCATCAAAACCTTCTAGTGCTTCATTGTTTAGAGAACTATTTAGGTCAAAACTGGAGGCCATCTCTTGAGTCTAAGGGGAAGTAAAGGACAGGAGGCTTTTTAGAATGAAGCTGCCCAACTATTTGGATAAGTTTTTTTATTCGATGAAAATAGAAGTAAAAACAAAGGGATTACCTAACCTAAGGTAAGCTTTTAGAGCCATTCCAAAGACTAGAACTCTTATGTTCAAAGCCTCTGCCACAAGGTCTGAGCACATTCAGGGTTCCACAAACCCCACTGATAAGCAGACTTACATCTCTATCCAGCCTCCATCAGCTTTATGAGTTTAAAGGACATTGGTTCTTAGAAAATCTAAACTCAGTTACACTGAAATTATGGTTAACCCACTGTATTATACCCCTAGCATGACAAAAATCACAAAAAGGTCAAAGAGTAGTCCTATCTATCTATCTATCTATCTATCTATCTATCTATCTATCTATCTATCTATCTATCATCTATCTATCGGTTTTTAGAGACAGTGTTTCTCTGTGTAACAGCCCTGGCCGTCCTGGAACTCAATATGTAGACCAGGCAGGCCTCATAGAGATCTGCCTGCCTCTGCCTCCTGAGTGCTGTGATTAAAGGCATGTACCACCATGCCCAGCTCATCTTTTCTATTTTGAATACTCTTTATACATAATGAGCATTTTTGTACTGCAAATAAATTTCTATTATACAGGTATAATAGATTCACATTTTTAGTACTTCCTGATCCCTTGTTCTTAAGCACCCTTTCGCTTGCTCCTCCACTTAGGACCAGGATGATTTCATTACCTCCTCTTAAGAAGAAAGGGTTGAAGCTTCTAAGTAATTTCCCCTTAGTTGGATGCTGGTAGGTGGCAAGGTCAATTCTAACCTCAGTTCTAACCTATATCTTGTAAGATACTTTAAAAAATATTTTAAGAGTTCAGTTTTAAAAGGATCTAAATTTTATCTGGCTGTAAAAATCTAAATTCCAGGGCATAGAGGATATAGTTTGAGGGGTTATATTACTCTGCTTAGAACAACAAGTATTTAAAAGGCTTATCCTTGAATTGCTAGGGAAAAAGACATACCCTGGTCACCCTAACAGTCTGCTAACTCCAGCCTTCCTGACATTACCTGCAAGTAGTTGCTCACTAAACTGCTCATGCTGGAGCTTCGGCTTGGGGGTTTCCACATGTAAGCAGAAGAGCTGGTGGCCAGTGTCCTCCTGTAGGGCCACAGAACAGACACACTTGTATTCAGATGAGAAAACAAACTCAAGTGTACACACACACACACACACACACACACACACACACACACACACACACAGAGGCAGTGGTGCTGACAGTTACTAGGCAACCAGGGGCAGTAGGATATGGTCTGTATATCATTTGAGTATGTCTACTAAAGGGTTCATATGTTGGTCCTTAGAATGGTGGTACTGAGAAATGATGGAACCTTTAAAAAGTGTGGCCAATATAAGCCTTTAGATCAACTGGGGATATGCTGTTTGAAGGCACTATGGTACTCTAACCTCTGTCTTACTATTTGGGACATGTGTGTGATCTCTTACTTCTGCATAAAATACACCCCATCTCCTCTCCACATGCTCTAAAATGATAGTCAAGGGGATCCCTTGCCAGAGCCTGATCCATCAGACCTTCAGCCTCTAAAACTGTGAACTAAACAAACTACCCTCTTTTTTTTTTCCTCCTAAAAGGAAGACTTACAGATTCTTTCTTTAAATTTAAAGATTTATTTTTATGTGTGGTGTATGTGTGAGGGGGAGGCCAGAGGAGAATACCATATTCTTTGAAGCTGGAGTGGTTGTAAGCTGCCTGACATGGGTTCTGGGATTTGAACGTGGGTCTTCTGGAAAAGCAGGAAGCATTTTTAATTGCTGAGCCATGTCCTCAGACTAGAAATGTCTTTTATTTATAAAGTTAGTCTGCTTCGGGTTTTGCATTACAGTAAACAATGGATGAATGCAGGAGTACTCTTTCCTTGATGGAGCATAAAGAGGAAAACATAACACTTCTCTCCAAGAGCAGATCTCCATGGGCTTGTGGCAGGTACTCCATTGCTGTAGTTTAAACATCATGGTGTGGGGTTAGAGATGGCCTAGCAGTTAAGAATGCTTGTTGTGCTGGCTTTTGCATTCCAGCATCTATGTAACTAACCAGGTGTCCCAGATACCCTTGAAATCCCATCTCCAAGAGAGGTAAAGACAGGGAGATCACTGGGGTTTTCTGGCTTCTAGCTTAGAGGAGAAAACTTGAGCCTCAGCTTCAGGGAGATACCTTGCCTCAAAAGACTAGAGTAATAGAGTGGTGCTCTCCTCTGACATCTATGCACATGCACATACACACATGCATGTACTCACATATACACACATATAAACAAATGAATTTAAATGCTTTCTCCCACTGTCCAAAAAAAAAAAAAAATCCCAAGTAGATACATTTTCCAATTTTTGGTTGTTTCTTTGAGTTTTAGGTGCCTGTCACAGACTATTTGCCAATGAGGAAAAAGCAACATTCAACCTAGTTTTTAAAAAAAGTCCCACTGTGCTGAGAGGTTCATCTACAATGTGGCTAAAGTCATGATTGCAGTTCATGTGGACATACTGGACAGGGCAACTATATACAAAGTCTCCTTTACTGAATAAAGTTCTACTGGATGGTGTGGGTCTGAAATATAGAGGCTTATATGATAACTCTCAATTCACAGGAACATTGTGACAGTTATTGAACTGTCAAACCTATTAGCCCTCTCAACCTAGCAAGGACCTTAGTCAAGAGTGCCGCACAACCACACACACACACACACACACACACGTGTGTGGTGTGAGGATGGAGGAAGGAAACTCTTGGTACATTATCACTGTGGAAAGGTGGAATAAGCCTAACTCCACCAGAGGGTGGCACACCTGGTGATGGTTACTCATGCAGTAGAATATTCTACACTGTGGATGATCTGAATAGTTTGAGCTTGTGAAATAAATAGTCTATATCACAACTACTCCTGCATGAAATCTGTCATAGAATACACAAGGAGATGGGCAAAGTTGCTTCACTCCTACAGCTATAGAACCACAAGTGTAAACACAGGTAAAACTAAACAATATGAAATGAAAAAGGCAAGTATGAATTAATAGCTTTTTCATGATTCATTGTGCATAACATTTTGAAAATATACATAACATTATCATAAACTATTTATGGTTACATATGCATATAGTGAAAATAAAGTCTTGCTATTGACATGCCTCAATCATGGTGCTGTGTTTACTTCTGGAAAGGAAGAAGGAAAAAGACAGCAAAAAGGTGGGGTCTTAGTTAGATCTATAGTATTTTATTTCTTAAAAAAAGAATGTATCATATAGAAGAAAGAAACCCTACAAGTATTAGCCTGAAAGGTCTCCCACTGGACAAATATGGGTAAGTTAAGGTCATAAATAACTGCAGAATGTAATCTACCAAACAACAACAAAACAATCCCCTCAAAACAAAAACAAAAACCCACCACCAACAACCCCCTCACCAGAGTCAATACTGAGATAAATGAATAAAGAAATGGGGAAGGCAGAAAAAAATAATTGTGAAGCTATATGTAATTTCCTGAGCAAGCAAAATGGCTAGGCAGATGGGTAGCTATCTTCAAAACGTTGAACATCTCTTTCCTTTACTTTTTTTTAAAAAAAGCAATTTCCCAAAGTACCTGGCAAATGTCGGCCAGGCGGCATCCAGGTCGTAGCCCCTTGATGCTAGATCAAACTGAACCTCAGTCAGCTCATATAATTGTCCCACGATGTCAGAGCTCAGCTTTGGCTTCAGAAAGGGGCTTCTTGCATAATACCAGTCACTGCAGAAAACATACACTATGTGAATTGAGGAGAAACAAGAATAAGCAAAGAATGAATCTACTCAAGATTGTCCTGTGTGGTTCTACCTCATCAAATCCAGTAACTCATGTTACTAAATCAGAAAACAAGCAAACCATTTTATCTTTCACTGCTGGACCATGGGTTCTCAAATAAGCTTTCTTTGCTTCAAAGAAACTGTTGCAATGATCTGGATGTTTATTATTTATATAATATCTCTTTTCCTCTAAAGAATTTGAGATACTTAAATCTTAGTGACTTGCCAAGAAAGGGCAACTATAGGAGACAGGGCAGTTCTTTTGGAGAAGATAACCTCAGCTTTTATTCCTTTCACAGAATCCAACAAGACACACTAGGCTCACTTTTAACTTCTGTTCAGACATTAAAAGCCAAGGAACAAATGTCTATCCAGAAATGTTATATACACACTGTTATTGTGGTTTATCCATTTCACATGAAGCAATAAGAAGTTAAAAAGATAGTACTAATGGGTTTAAAGAATTACTCGGCTCATATTTGTGGTCTGTGATGCTGAAATGTTTACTGCAGTCTTTAACCAAATACCTACAACAATATACTCTTCAAATCAAATGTGCAAATGTTTTTAACTCATAAGCTTGTCACATGTGTAAGAATGTGAATCAGCCTTAAAAGTGACAAAATAAAGATAAACATCTGCCTGTTATTTTTTATTTCAAAAGTCCTTTCTTTCATTAACTCAAATACCTAGGGAGAGGCAGAGCAGAAATAGAAAAAAAATGCTGGGCAATCCAATGAGGTTCAGCTGGTGGGCCCCAGATCTGCAGCTCCTAATCTGATGCTCCCTTACCTTCACTCACTCAGGCCCGCCTCTCTCCTTCCGTTTCCTGGTGAGGCTGTAGCATTTACGAGATACAAAGGCTGACATATGGGCAACCTGGATTCATAGCAGTTGCCCTTCAGTCTCCAAGGAGCCATGATATGCTTGCTGATGGGTAGTGGCTCTGTGGCAGGTAGGGGCCCAGGCTGAGTAAAGGAGAACCACAGGCAATTCTTCTGGGAAGCAAAAAAACACTAGCTTCAATGAGCCACCACTCATTAGGGAAAGACATGGCATCAGGAGTTAAGAGATCTGGCTCAGCTCTAGTATCACAGTTGAGCACATGAGAGAACTAGAGAAAATCAGTGTTTCCCCCTCTTTACCACATTTACCCTACATGCTCAAAGACTAGTAGAAAGTACAATGAATAATGGCTGTAAAAGAAACTGAAGGCACCTGCCACCGACATTCTGGTTTGGTTGACATAATTTCTGTTCCTTGGTGGTATGGGATTAAGCCCAGCACAGTCTTGCAATTACCTGGTCACTTTAGTGTTCATGAAGCACTGCTGCAAAGTGTCTGCCAACCTCTGGTGCACCAAAGAGTAGCGAATGAAAGCTCTGCCTTTTCCCAGAGATGTTCGGAGCTGAAAACAAATTACATCGAGATAAACACCTGCCTCATGGAGGATTAGCAAAAGGCCATGTATAGGACAGAACATGCCATCCGGCGCTACTCTGACACTGGCAGCCCTTATACCCATCAAAGGACACAAAACATCTGGCACTGTCACTCTAGGTTGAAACCTGAAGTGGGTGGGCTTATCTCAGGCCTCTATCTGAGAACCCTCTGCAAACATGAGAAGATATATGAATGAGAATCAAACACCTGTACATTGAATGGAGTCACTCTTGCTCTTCTTCCTACTAGAATCTCTGAGTCAGACAGGAAACTCCCTGATTTAATTTGGAGTAAGGTGTGAAACCTGGACGTAACTGAATGGCTTCTCACATAGAAGCTACAGGAAGAAGGGATAGTAAACTTGGTTGGTGCTGGGCCCAAATTACTAGGGGGTAGGGAGAGAGTTGGAACATGTGTAGAATGGGGACGAGCAGAAAGAGTGGAGTTGTGCAAAGGTTTTGCCAGATGTATAACAGTCTCCTTTGTCTCCATAAAACCACCAAACCCCCATGTATCTGTTCATGCTTTCCTAATTGGGCTGGTTTCTTTTCAGATAAGCCAACTCATTGCATTTAGTCAATGTGCTATGGATGAGAATAGGGCTTTTCAGGAAATCTTGTCACCTGGAAGTAAATGTCATAGAAAATGTAGCCCAGATGTCTACAACTCTACAATGATGATTATGACAAAACTATTTAAAAGCATAAAGGGATCCATCTGAGGTTTAGTCATTTACAGCATACTTACAGTAAGCTGGGTGGACTCTGTAATGAGGCTGCAATATAGCGCCTTACTAGCTGTGGGCACATGGCAGCCAAGACAAGTGGATTAAAGGGAACTGCAATAGAGGACACTTGAGACTGGTTTGAAAATTAAGATTCATAATCTTAATATATTAGTCCCAGAAGCAGTCAGGCATTCAAAATACACTGAATCTACCCTAGGTATCTACTGGCACAAGCTCTGGATCTGAGTAGAGAAGGCAGGGCCAACACTCTCTTAGCCCCTTAAAGGTCAGAATGTGGTAGGAGAGGGATGACAGTAGTTTTGTCAAAAAAGAGTCTTACTATTAAGATGCCCTGGAATGAGACAGGAAGTAAGTGGCATGCCACCAAGGCACCAATTATGCTGTAAACATCCCAGTAGCAGTTCACACCTTTAACTCAGATATTTCTTACTTTGAGTCATTCTTACTGATGACTCAGAGAAATAATATAATACAAGGTGATTTTAAAAGACGTGAAACCTCATGAACTATGGAAGCCATAAGACATTTCTCCATGCATAGTCACAACGGTTGAAATGGAGGTGGGCAGAAGACTGATTTGATATAAAGCACTACAGTATGCTTACAAATAGTTATCTCAAGAGATGCACAAACACTTTCTCCTCTGATGAATGAGGTGAGAACAAAGTGCTCAGTGGGGACAACAGGGACATCTGAGCAGCCAAGAAAAGCTAGGCAAGGTACCCTTCGACATACCCTAAAACTGGAGTAATAGTGGAATTTAATCAGACCTCTGCCCACAAAACCACTCTTTTTTTTTATATAATTTATTTTTATTTTATGTTCATTGGTATTTCACATGCATGTATGACTGTGTGAGGGTGTCAGAAGGCCTGGAACTGGAGTCATAGACAGTTGTGAGCTGCCATGTGGGTGCTGGCAATTGAACCCGGGTCCTCTGGAAGAGCAGCCAGTGCTCTCAACCATCTGAGCCATCTTTCTAGCCCCCCAAAACCACTCTTGTCTGCAAGCTCTAAGAGCAGGAGCGAGTCCTTATTCCTCCTACATGACAGTAAAACTTCTTAATGGTAACATTTGAGCTCATTAGCTGAACAAATGATAATATATAAAGGGAGCTAGCTGCATACTTTAAAGGGATTTGTAAATGTCTTTCAGGAAAAGAAATATTTCCTTTGTACTACAAATGAAAGTAACTACATATCTCCTTTAAAAATGTTTTAGCATCACCCTTTACAATAGCCACAAATAATAAATATCTCAGGATAACACCAACTAAACAAGTGAAGGACCTGTTTGATAAGAACTTTAAATCTCTAAAAAAAGAAATTGAAGAAGATATCAGAAAATGGAAGGATCTCCCACGCTCATGGATAGGTAGGATTAACATAGTAAAAAATGGCAATCTTACCAAAAGCAATCTACAGATTCAATGCAATCCCCATCAAAATCCCAACACAATTCTTCACAGACTTGAAAGAAAAATACTCATTTTCATATGGAAAAACAAAAGACCCAGGATAGCTAAAAGAATCCTGTATAATAAAGCAACCTCTGGAGGCATCACCATCCCTGACCTCAAGCTCTACTATAGAGCTATAGTAATAAAAACAGCTTGGTACTGGCATAAAAACCGACATACAGACCAATGGAATAGAATTGAAGACCCTGACATTAATCCACACATATACAAACACCTGATTTTTGACAAAGAAACCAAAACTATACAATGGAAAAAAGAAAGCATCTTCAACAAATGGTGCTGGCATAACTGGATATTAATATGTAAAAGATTACAAATAGATCCACATCTGTCCCCACGCACAAAACTCAAGTCCAAGTGGATCAAAGACCTCAACATAAATCCAGTTACACTAAACTTAATAGAAGAGAAAGTAGGGAGTACTCTTGAATGCATTGGCACAGGAGACCACTTCCTAAATATAACACCAGCAGCACAGACACTGAGCACAACAATTAATAAATGGGACCTCTTGAAACTGAGAAGTTTTTGTAGGGTAAAAGACACAGTCAATAAGACAAAAAGACAGCCAACAGAATGGGAAAAGACCTTCACCAACCCCATATCTCACAGAGGACTGATCTTCAAAGTATATAAAGAACTCAAGAAACTAGACATCAAAATACTGAACAATCCAATTAAAAAATGGGCTAAACGGCTAAACAGAGAATTCTCAAAAGAAGAATCACAAATGGCTGAAAGACATTTAAAGAAATGCTCAACATCCTTAATCATCAGAGAAATGCAAATCAGAATGACTCTGAGATACCACCTTACACCTGTCAGAATGGCCATGATCAAAAACACTAATGACAGCCTATGTTGGAGAGGATGCAGAGCAAAGGGAACACTCCTCCACTGTTGGTGGGAATGCAAACTTGTACAAACACTGTGGAAATCAGTATGGCAGTTTCTCAGAAAATTGGGAATCGATCTACCTCAAGACCCAGCCATACCACTCTTGGGCATATACCCAAGGAACGCTCAATCATACCACAAAGATACATGCTCAACAATGTTCATAGCAGCACTATTCGTAATAGCCAGAACCTGGAAACAACCTAGATGCCCATCAACTGAAGAATGGATTTAAAAAATGTGGTACATATACACAATGGAGTATTACACAGCAGAGAAAAACAATGACAGCATGAAATTTGCAGGCAAATGGATGGAACTAGAAAATATCATCCTGAGTGAGGTAACCCAAACCCAGAAGAACAAACATGGTATGTACTCACTCATAAGTGGATACTAGATATAAAGCAAAGAACAAGCAGACTGCAGCCCACAGAACCAGGGAGGCTATATAGCAGGGGGACACTAGGATGACTGTGGCTTATAATAAGTTTTGGTTTTACTCAATTACTGGGCAAGCCTCAATGAAACATTTCACTATCACTATTAGAATAAGAATTTATACTGTATCAAGCTGATAATAGAAAAATAAATAAATAAATAAATAAATAAAAATTAAAGAAAAAAAAAAAAGAAGCTGAAGCCATAGGCCATACAGTTTGTAATTTAAAAAAAAAAAAGTGTTTTATATCATAGGTCAGCTTTCACTTCTCAATTCCCGGTTTTCTTAGCATCCCATATACACCACGTTAAAAAGGCACACAACAGCAGCACAACAGGACAGGAGACCTGCAAGGAACATGGGTTGCTTCTGTTTTAAACCAGACTACTGTGCCATGAGCCTAGAGCAGAGCTGGCCTCCACATGCTTCAGGGAAACACAGTCCCAGAAGAGCCCATTTTGAGCCTCTAGAAGTGGCTTACTAGCATGCTCACATAGATTAGCCCAAATGGCTATCTCCTTTCCAAAAGGCCCTGAGGATTCCTAGAAATGCTATGACCCATTAAATTCTAGTCACACTTGAAGACCCAAAGAACACCCGAGTACTAGGGTAACTGAATAGAAGTTTTCCCACCTAGTAACATTCCAAGACAGAGAACAGAGCTTTCAACCATAGTTAAACAACTGGGCCCCATGGGAAATCACCTACAATGCCACTAAAACCTGGAGGAGTGCTGTGGGAAGGTCTGTATGTCAAATTACTCTGATTGGTCAATAAATAAAACACTGATTGGCCAGTGGCTAGGCAGGAAGTATAAGCGGGACTAACAGAGAGCAGAAAAGAAAGAACAGGAAGGTGGAAGGAGTCACTGCCAGCCGCCACCATGACAAACAGCATGTGAAGATGCCGGTAAGCCACGAACCACGTGGCAAGGTATAGATTTATGGAAATGGATTAATTTAAGCTATAAGAACAGTTAGCAAGAAGCCTGCCATGGCCATACAGTTTGTAAGCAATATAAGTAAATCTCTGTGTTTACTTGGTTGGGTCTGAGTGGCTGTGGGACTGGCGGGTGACAGAGATTTGTCCTGACTGTGGGCAAGGCAGGAAAACTCTAGCTACAGAGGAGCAAGCCAGAAGTCGGCACACAGCTTCCTTAACTTCTTTGAAGTCTATTTGCATGGCCTCAAAAGTTATGAATACATTATGAGGAGAGGAGAAAAACAGCTAAAAAGTAGACTGTTTTATAAAACACTTCATGATTCTAGGAATGAAGACTAACTTACTGTTAGACTTTACTTGTCCAAAGTCATACAATTGAAGGCTTCAGTGCTGGTACAATGGGTGAGGAATGGGAGAAGAGATTCCTGATACAGCATTACACACTGCTCTACATCATGAACTTGAGTTTCTTACCAATCTCACAAGACCAACTCACACCACAGTGACATTAAAGATATACACAGGACAAAAACTTCAGAACTGCCACCTTTCCTGACTTGCCCAGAGTCAGAGGATGCAGTTGGTAGAAATCACTGAGCCTTTGATGTTAGTGTTCTTAATACTGTTTCTATCTATAAGAAGAAACACCATGGTATGCCTGGAACACTATTGCTAGAACACCTAATACACTCTAATACTGTGGCCCTTGAGGCCAGCCAAAGAGCCTATGTGCTGATTTTAAAGTGTTTCTATACTTGTCAGAGATGCTGACAAGACAAAATGCACAAACTTTTCTAACCTTTCTTCAAATTTCCGGTTCACTTGTTCCCCATGTATATGTGCTTCACTTCTGGGTTGACTGGGATGATGAGAGAGGGAGAGAGTCATTGGGAATGGAGATGGGAGAAAGGTATGAGGGAAATCATCTGAGGTTTAGTCATTCACAAAATGGTGTGCTGAGCAGACTCTGCTATGGGCTTCAACACAGGACCTTCTAGTTTCTGGTGCAAAGGAGCCAAGATAAATGGATTAAAGGAACTGCACAGAGATCTCACAAAGAAAGAAGGGTGTGTAGGTGGTATGATATGTTTGTGTGTTTTTTTAGAAGTTTATAGTAAGTCAAAGCCAGGGCATTCAGCTCTTCCTGAATGAGGGCCCAACCAGATATAAGAAGTTACTTAGCAGCTCTGCATGATAAGAAATATCCTTGAGTCGGGTGGTGGTGGCGCACGCCTTTAATTCCAGCACGCAGGAGGCAGAGCCAGCTGGATCTCTGTGAGTTCAAGGCCAGCCTGGTCTACAGAG